TGATAATGATATAACTATGATTGGAATTAGGCCCATGATTTCTAAACGAAACTCCAGAAATTTAGATAGAGGCAACAATGCTGGAGGTTGGCTAGAAAACTGGCCTTTGTTGATGTGGTGTGAAGAATGGTCTGCAACTGATGTCAGAAACCACTCTCTTATAACTGACCCGATCATGCATGTACCTGGCTTTGATTTGCCATGCTGCTCATGGGCCCTTCTGAACCAATTTTGAATGGGCCAGAGTCAATGTGCAATCAGCTTTCATGCCCACAAGAGGATCCCACATGTAGCTGTGGCCAAAGACTGACAATGTCACACATCACTGACCTAGGGTTGCCAACCCTCCAGGATTGTCCTGGAGTCTCCAGGAATTAAAGATTAATCTTTAATTAAAGATTATGTCACATGATGAAACCTCCAGGAATACATCCAATCAAAATTGGCAACCCTACATGGACCACTGCCCTCTGACCAGATTTGATGGTGGTCTAAGGGCTCTGCACTTCACTGATGAGGCTGTTGCAAACTGCAAGCTCTACATCAGATAAAAAGGCGACTGGGGTTTGTAGTACATCTTACACTCAGTGTCACTTCTGGTGATCACATTCCCTGCCTGTCAATATTAAAACAATTAATATATCAACAATTGGAAAATGGAAATCGAAGAATTTAGTTCATTCTGGAATACAACATGACTATCACAGCACTTTTCCTTGCTGAATTCTGCACAATAAAAACTGAACCATTATATGCCCCATCACCTTCTGGAGCAGTCAACAAGAAGCTGCGCTGAAATCACATCTAGAAGGTTGTAAATATTCATAAATATACATATGGGAGATCAGTGGAAGAAGTAGTTTCCTTTTTTTCTCCTTAAATGTCTAGCTCAAGGTACAAAGTCAGCGTCTATTATAATCAAATTAAAGGTTTCAGAAAGCTTGACTACTATTTTCTGTTGATTTTTCACCTTTGAAGGCTAAAATTGGTTTTCAGAGAGACTTCAGGCATTCTGGACATCACTGAAATTAATAGAAAGACAACGTTGGATTGGGCCCAATCGGTTAATTAAGTGTTTTTTAACTTTGGTAGACTTGATCCTCATGCATTTTGCTTCTTCACTGTGATAAATAGAACATATAAGACTCACCACCATAACAACAAAATCTGGACAGATGGCAAACTTCACTATGTATTTGAAAACCACAGTCAAACTCACATGTATTGTACATCCATATACAACAAGGCTATGACTACATGGTAACACTCATATATGCCATACAACTGAAGACAACACAGCTCCCACTTACTACGCATCCCTCACATATACCGTACATCAGAAAAAAAAATAGCTCAAATTCAGAGGGAACAAATCAAGTTTTTTGGAAGTTTTCGAAAGCTAGGACATGACTAGCTAGGACAGGACATTTTAGCACATACACAGATTTAGAATATATATTGCAATGGTGTGTTAGTCTGCTCCAAAGGGGGAGGTTTGGATTTGATAAAGATATTTTTGTTGCTTAGTTTACAAAGGAACCTTTTCCTTTCTGTTCGTCTTTCTTGTTGTATTGTAACAATCCGATTATCCCAGCCTCTAGAATAAATTTCTATTTTTAAATACATTCCAAACCTATACCTCATGAACAGTTCATTTGGTTTTTGTAATCGGTGTAGCCCCAATGTTGATCTTTTTATTTATCCTATGTGAGACTCGCTTTATTAGCTCAGCTCCCTTCTTACCATGCGTGGACTCAAATGTCAAACTAACTATAAACAGACAGCAATATTGAATTTATTTGTGGAATGTTGTTCATTTTAACTAATTATTTTTAAGATGCCCAAAGGCCTTTGAATATTGGGCAACAAAAATTTTGGTAAGTTACCACTCTATTATTAAATATAAGGATGATGCATCAACATCAGTGTCAACAATATCATCCACACTTTGGTGACAGAGCTGGAAAAATAGTTCATTTGGTCTGCCACTTATTGTGCCTTTTGTTCTTTACATAATGAACATAATAGTTCCAAGGAGATTGTGGAATCCCCATCACTGGAGGTTTTTAAGAACAGTTTGGACAAACACCTGTCAGGGACAGTCTAAGTATACTTGGCCATGCCTCAGCATATGAGGTACTGTGGATGACCTGTTGAGGTCCCTTCCAGCTCTACATTTGTATGACTCTATTATTCTATTTCTGGATTCCATAGTAAAATAAATGCCAAAGGAAGCCTAAAATGTTCATTTATAATGTCCTTTTATAAACATCTCTGCTTTTTGACAGTGTATCAAAGAGAAAAAATGAAGCAGCCATTACTACTTCATTGTTATTCAAATGAGCAGAAACAATTCAATAAATGATGCCTTGATCTATTTTGGTGTGTGTGGCTGAGCTAGATCCATAGCCTGACTCTTTAATTTGGCTTTTAAAATCAGAGTTCCTGCTAATTTGTATCTGGGTGATTGCTGAACACAAGCTAGTGTTGCTGGGGAGCAAGAGTGGGGGTGGGGGCTTTACCTGGACATAGGGTTAGTATATTTCAAGTTCCCAACTAGAGGACACCTTTGGGGGGTGGAGAGGGAAAGGAGGAGCTGGAGGGGGATTTGGGAGTGCTGGATGGAGTGTGTGTGTACTGGGAGGGGGTATTTGGAGGTGCTGGAGGGGCATGTGTACTGGGAAGGGGATTTGGGGATGCTGGAGGGGTATTTTGGAGTGCTGGAGGAGTGTGTATACTGGGAAGGGGTATTTGGGGTGCTGGAGGGGTGCACGTGTACTGGGAGTGGGTTTGGGAGGGTGCTGGAGGGCTGTGTGTACTGGGAGGGGGTATTTGGGGGTGCTGGAGAGATGTATGTGTACTGGAGGGGGTGCTGGAGGGGTGTATGTGTACTGGGAAGGGGCGTGGGGGGTGCTGGAGAGGTGTGTGTGCTGGAAGGGGTATATGGCAAGTGCATGTGTACTGGGAGGGGTTTTTTGGGGGTGCTGGAGGGGTGTGTGTGTACTGGAAGGGGTACCTGGGAGATGTTGGAGGGGGTACCTGAGGCCTCAGAGTCGAGGTGGGGGGCAGTGTCGTGCTCCCTATCACAGTGGCGGGGAGGCTGGCCCAGGCCCGGGACGCAGTGCCAGCCTGTCAGTCAGTGCCTCCTTGTGGGCCTCTCCCCCTCTCTATGGCAGGGAACCAAAGCCTGGTCCTGTCACCCCTCCCAGACAGGCTCTGAGGCCCCGCGGCAGGGCAGGTGGCCCGGCCGAGAGGCGCTTGGCGGCTCCACTTACCTGGCAGGCTGGGCTAGGGCAGGCAGGATCTGGCATCTGTGGATGTAGGGGAGGGACCAATCAGGGCGTGGAGATGGCTCTCTCTGAGCTGCAACCTCTGCTCCACAACGAAAAATCCTGGACACTGCCTCTTATTTGAAAAATCTGCCCGGACAGAGGGTGGGCTACCAAAAAAGAGGTCACGTCCAGGAAAACCTGGGATCAGGCAGCTTCAGCTCTAGGCCTCTTACTCCTCAGCTGCCAACTCCCTCCCAAGCAGTGCTCTGTTCTAGATACCTGTAATTCTGGTCAGACTGTGCAAGGGATCCCCTGCTGGAAGGAGGCTCACATTGCAGCCAACTGGTGCTTCAGCGGCTGAAAAGTCAGGCAGGTCTCCTTCATCCTGTAGCCAAGCTTTTATCTACCGACCATACCACCAACTTCCCTGTGGAGACAGGAGGCAGTACAGCAGTGATTTGAACCTACGTCTCCCACATCCTGGGTGAGTGCTCTAACCACTGGGCTATTGGGCAAAAGGGGGACACCACCACCATCTCCTCTGGCATCTTTTGTGCAGGTTTAGGCATGCTATCAGTACACCTATGGGATCAGGCCCCAAAGGCAACATAGACAGGGGATTGCCTACTTGATAAGTCCTGCTGGGGCTTAGGTGAAAGTTAAGCACCGAGCTGCTGGATGGGGGCAGGATTGAGGCAGCTGTGCACACCAGGTGCCAAAATGTAGGCACCTTGGGGATTTGGTGAATGCTAGTGGCACCTAAATGTTGGGCTTAGGCACGTAAAGTGGCAGTTAGGCACCTAAGTCTCCCTGGTGAATCTAGCTCTAGATGTGTAATGGATAATGGGGAAAAGGACAACTAGTAAATTACAAAACATACAAACAAACCACAAAACAAAAAAACCCAAAGGGAATTCCCCCGGCAGAATTCCACTGGCTATAATGGCTTTGCTCCTGGGATGAATCTGGACCCCAAACTGCCTGTTCTGCATTTACTCCTTGGAAAGTGGGCACACTTCATGCAAGAATGAGAATAAAACTCTTTGAGGATTGATGGCTTGGGTGATTAAGGAAGTGAAGATGATCTACACTCAGTTGTTACATAAGCTTCAGAAGGGAAGCCAATAAAGCTTTTCAAACATCCTGAAGCTGGTGATCAGCAAATAATAAGGCACACTGAAAGCAGGGAGATTAGCATTAGACTTTGGATTTGACAAATGAGCAAATGTAAAGGTGTTTGAAAGGCATTGGATATTGAAGAAGGTGGGGGACGCCATAAAGATAAAAAGAGCACATTGATTTTATTAGCCAAACCCCAGTGTAAACAAAAAATGAGCAGCCAGGATATTATATATATAAGATCTATGGATGACAATCTAACAACTCAGAAATAATAGCCAGCAGAGTGTGGGGTAAATCAGATTCTAGCCTATACCGCTATTTTTCTCCAGAGTTTCCATCCTGTAAAAGCAGATTGTATCATATTTTGCCATTTATGAACATGAAACAGTGTATTACAGGTTCTAGAAAATAAATTGTAGCTCAGTCTTGTTCTCCCCACACTGACCTTTTTGATATTCAGAGGATTTAGAGATGTAAAGGCCTATTAGATAAAGTCCATCCCTCTGCAAGAGGGATATACCTGCATTGTGGTGAAAAAAAGAAGCTGGATCTTTAAATCTCTCCCATTTACGTGCAACAATAACCAGCATTTAAAGGCAATAAGGAGGAGCTCTCATCTTGGCAGGCAACTGGTGAGGGCATCAGGCCTGGGTATGGTCACAAAGTTCATGGAGCAGTGCAATAAAGGGCAGATCTTTTCATGGTCCTTCAACACCTCGCTCAGGTGTTTCATCTCATCTGTTAGCTTCCCAATCTCTCTTTTCAGGGAGGTATTTTCTTGTTCAAGGCACTCATATTCCTGGAATGAAAAAAGGAAGCCCACTGCTAATAAAAACGTTCCTTTCAGTGCCTTCACCTGTTTTTAATCAAATGATAGCAGAATAAATTGTTTTTTCTGCTTATTTAATGTTTTTGAAATATAACATAAGAATCAAAATACTAAACTAGCCTAATAAATACAGATGCTTGTAACAATGCGACTGTTACTATCCATGTTCTTACTGAGCTACAGTTGTGGGCCCAGATCCTGAGCTGTGGCCACGAAGCATGTAGTCCCACTCAGGAGGGGATTGCGAAGGTAGCATTTAGCCACCTTTGCATTCTCCTGATCCTGGGCTAATCTATGTTGTTCTGGTTCCCCCACCACAAATTGTTGTGGCCTAAGGGTGCTCTAGGTTGTGCTCGCTAGCAAAGGCCTAAAGGGACCATTCTGGCAACCAGTGATTGCAAGAGTGTGGGCTGTGACCAGAACACCCAGCTTCTTTCTCCAGCCATGCCTTCTGCACAGGTTGAAGGGATAGGGGTGGTTTAGGAGTTCCACACCATCCAAAGATCCTTCCACACAGGATACATCCTCTGCAGGCTGCAAAAGGCAGTTTTGTATTGCCTAAAAAATCAAAAGTACCCAAGTTAGACTGGGCAGAGTCCTGGTTTGCTTTGGGAAACATGAGTAGTTGGGCAACTGCCTAAGTGCTAAATCTGTGCCTGGGGTTTCTTCCCTTTCAGGCTGTACAATGACTTGTGTGGCTGCAAAGCCCAGATTGGCCAAGTAATACCATGGAAGCTACTGAGCCCAAAGTCTGGCCCTGATAGCAGCTAACTCAGCTCTACATCTGCATTTATGTTTCAGAATGAAACTAAGCACTACTTTCCTTCTACATGATCTACTATATAAATTAATTATTACAAAATTGAAAAACGTCTGTGAGCCCCTCATTTTCTGCTATCATCTGCTGCTCATCTGGGACTTGCTAGAGACCTTGTAATATAAACTGAACTGGTATATATGCTGGAGGGGCATTATTATTAACTAATTATTATTATTTGTATTAGTATAGCGCCTAGGAGCCCCACTCATGGACCAGTACCCCCACTATGCTAGGTGCTGTACAGACACACAACAATAACACAGTCCCTACCCCAAAGAGCTTACAACCTAAATATAAGACGAGACAACAGACGGATGCAGACAGATGAGGGAATACAAGGAAACAATGAGATTATATTGATCGGCATGAAAAGGCTGTTGGACCAGTGTTTCAGTGCAACTTCAGTTATTCTCTGGTTTTCACTTTCAATTGAATGTGGGTTAGCAAACACTTCCACAGAAGTTCCTATCTAGATCAACACAAGCTGTCCAACCACCATGACCAGTGTGCTTATATAGCAAGAAAATAATCACTCATCATATTTTCCTAACTAAAAAATGAAAATATCCCACAATGTAACAAACTGTTTCCCTCTGAAGTTATCTTTATTATTCCCCCTTTAAAATGTGTTTGAATTTAATGCTCACAAGAGCACTATGAAGAATCAAATATGCAGGCAGGTTCGATGCTGGTTTCTAAACACCGCTCTGCTTTGCACCCACGTCAATCCTGACCCACACCTTTGTTATTCCAGTCCTGCTTCTTACCTGAGCAGAGACTGCCTATGGGAATGAACTGTAGAAGAGTTGGAGGCATTCTGTAGTAGACACCAGGGGAAGAAAAGCGCAGACATTTGGCATTTCATCTCTAGAAGTTGGTATAATGGAACCTAGGTATGGTGACCCCATTACAAGTATTTCCTGCACTTCACAGTGTTTTGCAAGGATAAAAGACATCATGAAAAATTGTCTTCTGTGGATAAATTTTATTTTCAAAATGTAGAAGACAGAGATAATTCTGTGCTGAATTGGGCCCTGAGAGCTGCATCACTTACATAAAGGCATTAGTAGCATAGTAGTAAATATTTATAGTATGGTGGTGCCCAAAGCCCCAGTCGAGCTAGAAGCCTCATTGTGCTGGCTGCTGTACAAACACAGAAAAGAGACAATGCCTGCCCTGTTAGATTTACAACTGAACAGACAGTAGGGCTACCATATTATATTATTGATGCTGAGGGCTTGTTAATAGGATTTCAAAAAGGATCAGACATTTATATGCACAATGGGAACATCCACAGTTTAAGATAGGATAAAATATATATAAGGTATCTAAACCCTCATACTTCAGTGACTTATTGGAGTTAGCAGAAGCTTCCCCATGGGAAGCTTATTCCTTAATTGTTCTGTATAAGGTTCTAGCACCACTGGCAAGTTCCAGATGTTTCAATGTAGGGAAAATATTGGACTAGACAGCTCACCAGCATGGTCAGTATGGTAATTCATATGTTTTTACACCAAACCCAAACTTCCTCATGCTGGATTAGTACGAAAACCACCCCATATCTGTTTAAGAAATGCATAGTATTGTTAAATTCTGCACACAACGCTCAAAAGGCAATGCAACATATGAAATACCCATTCACCTCATGGAGTTTGTCTGCTTTCTGCGTTTGTTTCTTCCGGCTTCTCTGGGCAGCGACTCTGTTTTTTTCTCTCCGTCTTATCTTCCTATCATCCTCTTCGGGACTCTGAAAAACCAAACCAAACACCTTGTTGTTGTTTTTTTAAAAAGTGCACTGAGATTCAAAAAGCAAGGAAATAACTTTTAGTGAAAATAAGCAAACAATCTGGTGTGTTTCATAATAACAATATTTCATTCTTACATAAACCTCTCCATCCACAGATCTTAAACTTTGCAAAGGTCAGTAAGTAGCATTATCTCCATTACACAGACAGGGAAACTGAGGCATGGAGAGATTTTTGTGGCCTGATTTTCAAAAGTGCTGAGCATTTGCTGCTCCTATTGACATCTGTGGGAGCTGGGGTTGTTGAGCAAGTTAGTGGCACAACGAGGACTAAAAACTAGAGAGGCCTGATTCTGTGGTATCCTGCATCAAGGGGGCTGGAACTAGGGGTGCTGTAGGTGCAGCAGCACCCCCGGCTTGAAGTAGTAATAACAACCAAATACATGGTTTCCCCACTATAAAAATTATTCCAGTATCCCTGCCTGTATCTTGTAGCCACTTACACCAGTGTATGAAAAGTAGATATAAAACTCTACCAATCAGAATAATAGTGTTTTATGTCCACTTAATCCAGTAGACCATGTGGTTTTCCAGAAACAACCTTGTTGATTACATAAATAGCATATAATACACATGCCACCGTGTCTTTGAAATTTACACAATCACAGATGTTTTTGGCTTTTTAGAGAGGAAAATCTCCTATATAAAATATCTTAGTAAGAGATCCTATTTTGGATTAATGTTTTCCTGTATTGTTCATACACAAAATCCACTCACAGCCTAGAAAATAACTTTCTGTTTTCATTATGGAGTCTTGATCATGGTTTGTGGAGGCTTGGGGAGGCTTTCCATTATAAACCCAATGATTAACTCTCCCTCGCATACCTGAAAAATTCTCCATCTGGTCTGAAATTTCATTTGCTTCCTCTCAGGCTGGAGCAGAATTTTATATATATTAAAGAAATCGGGTAAATAAGCTTGCCTGCTAGCTAACAATGCCCAGCAACAGTTGTCTGCAGATCTAAGTCACATTTGACTTAGACAACAATAAGATTTTTACAGTCCAGAGAAAGCACACTCATCACCAAGCTGCAGCATAATCTGCAGAAGAGTGAGCTGGGATTGGGGAGCAAGGGGAGGAGTTCTCTAAGCACGCTGCAAGTATTTCCCTACAGCCCTGTAATAGGACATGATCAATTGCCTTTCATCTTGGTTTGGAAAGAAGACACAGAATTCATCCCAGCATGTCAATGACAGCGTTAAGGCTGCTGGCGGTGGCTGCTGTTGCTCCTAGCAATGTTTACTCTGTCAAGTTAACCACTGTTTCCTCTCTTACAAGGAAGATTTATACAACAGAGCAGAAAGTATTTAAAACTGCATGTCCTCGATTGAAGAAGCTGTCCTGGTAGGAGCTGTAATGCACTGCTATCCAGACTGCTAAAGTCCGTGAACTGAACTCATCTCTGAGGTAACACTATTGAAATAAATGGAGTCACATCAGTGATGAATTCCACCCCATGTGTCAGATATGCACAGGAGAGACATATGTCTGTGTGTGGTTTCATGAAAGAAAGGGCTAGAGCGGGCAAGAGGAGCGCCCATGGTAATTACAGATCCATGGAAAGAGGGCAACTCTTCTGCATCTTCTGTTCTCTTCTGCATCTTCCCTATGGGGTTAGAGATTACAGCACAGGCATGTCCAGGCAGGAGTTAGTGTCCCAAGACAAGGTCAGGACAACCAATACCAGCATCAACGAGATGCTGCTCTTTATCTTGGGAAGCATGGAAGCAACCATTTCTCTTAGGGTTGCCAACTCACCAGGATTGTCCTGGAGTCTCCAGGAATTCAAGATTAATCTTGAATTAAAGGTTATATCATGTGATGAAACCTCCAGGAATATGTCCAGCCAAAACCGGCAACCCTATGTTCTGATCATCCTGTCTCCTACCCAGGGCCGGCTCTGGCTTTTTTGCCGGGGGGGGGGGGGGGCGGGGCCCCCCGGGGGGGGGGGGCGGGCCCCGGGGGGGGCCCCCGCCCCCCCCCCGGCGGCCAGAGCGCGTCGAGCCCCTGCTGGGGCTCGG